AAAATGACGAATATTCTTGAAAGGTATATTAGGGAAAGAAAATCTAATATGATGCGACAGACAAGCATAGATCAGTAGATCAGTATTTTGTGCAATGATTATTATTATATTCAGTTATCACGTGATTTACTAATACAAACTCCCTAAATGCACACTCATTGTTATCCCTCTCAACTTTTCATTCCCAAGGGCGTGCATTTAGGGAGAGTTGACTGTATAGGGTACGGACCCTCCTGGAGCTCGCAACGCGTCACATTCCGTTGTCAACACCCCAGTATTTGTTACGTGAGTACTAATAAGCGCGTTCCGTGTTTGCGGTTTCCGTTGCTCATTTCTTGCTATATTTTGGTGATTCATTATCAGGCACGTACTTTTGAATGATTTTACCCGTGTAAATTGTCCTCGTCTGTGAATTTTTTCCTAACTGATTTGTTGGGCGACAGCCATGGCAGATTCCTTCAAGACATGGTATTTGATTGTGAATGACAAAACAACTGACTGGGCCAAAGTTCCACTAGCAACACAAAATTATGAAGTGGAGGATGTAGACGACCTTAAGAAAGCTCTTAGCAAAGCGATGAAGGATGCTTTCGAAATCAACAAGCCATATGGCCTGTTGACCGCCAAGGCCGTAAAGAAGGTCGATGACTACAAACCAGAAAACTTACAGACACTGAAGAGTCAAGCGAAAGAGCTGAGTGGATTAGACACACTTACCTTGGTCTTCCAATACCTCGAAGTGGATGGCGCAAATGATCTAGTTGACGCAAATGGAGAGATCGATTATGCTACAGCTCGAAAATCCACAAAGTGATGTTTGAAAAGGAGCGATTCCCATAGATGCATACTTTTCTATTTTATTTATTGTGGCTTACACTTGCATAGCAGAACTCTTTAAACTTACTATTATTATGCCATTACATTATTATGTATCTTGTTATTTATGTTGTATATCAGCTTGGAATTTATGTCCATTCCAAATGGACATGTATGTCAGTAAAGACAATAACAACCAGATAATAAAATTATAAAATCATTTATTGGCATTATGATCAACTCTACTTGCATATAAACAACTGAGTTTGTTATAAATATATGCTACTTTAACGTTTGTAAGTTTTAGCATAAGAAATATAAGCACAAGTCACTTGTGATATTACCACTCGTATTATGTCTTTATATTATATCATTGATATACACTTGAATCTTATTACACATAACAAACTACTGCACTGTCGATTATGACAGTTAAATATGCTTCATAACGTTTCGTTACCGTCATATCACAATGTAAACTCCAAACCCGCATTTACATGTTACGGTCGGCGTCCAAAATAGGGTTGGGAGAGCAATTATATTGCGTAGGTGTGTTCTGCCGAGAGGGGTTTTTCACAATTTAGCTCTTGTCGCTGCCCTTACTACAATGGTTGCTCACTTAAGGCTGAACTAACTGAAAGTGACAATAATATTTATGTGCGCGCGCTTCGCTTTCACTCCCTATCCGATGTGTTTCTCCTATACTTGTACCTAAATAAGGGTACCTACGATAAATAAAAACAGCAATCTATCTATCGCAGAATCGAAGGGAAAAATCCAATACTATTTTAAATAAGGGCAAACTTCGATTTAGCGTTTTGACTAGTCAGGTTATCTAATTTAAACAACAAAGAATTTTAAAAATTGTCGTTCGAGATACTCTTGCTTTACCGCAACTACGGATCGTTACCGATCTATTGCGCTGACAACCACCGTACAGCTACGAGTCGTTACCAATCTACTGCCGATAGTTAAGTCAAAAAGCTTAGTTTTCGCGACGATAGAAATAGAATTAATAAAAGTAAAAAAGGTTTCGTAATAATTAAAAGGATAAAGATCAGATCGATTGTTTATGATATCCGAATACTTCAGTTATCAGTATCGAATATTATTTTATTTCAGCACAACATTAACAGAACATTAACATGAGGATTTTAGACGGTCGGCTCTTTATATACATTTTGCTGTCACCAAAATTGTGTTACTTTTTCTACGCCACAAAGCGCGTACACAGTGAAACTCGATAAGTCGGACACGACGGGCTGGGCATAGCTGTCCGACTTATCGAGGAATCCGAGTTATCGAGAGGTCAATAAAATTTATTGTAACACGATTTTCTTTCATGCTGTAAGATGTATTCGGATAATTTACTTATTAATAAACAAAGATATAAAGATAAAACTTTGCTATTACTATTGCTTATTTAAACGTCTATGCTAGTTTGTTTTAATAAAGTAACTTGTTTTCTACAGATTTGCCATTTTAAAATCTCTAAATGAGTACAAATTATCAATGATATAAATGTTGTTAAGTTACAAAAGTGAAGTAGACAGAATAAAGAATTAGAGACTGAAGTTGCTAGGTTAAAGGAAGAAAATAAACAATTAAAAGAACAATAAAATGGTCATTTAACTTCATTCTCATAAAAAATTCTGAGCTGATGCCTAAATGACGTCACATGTTCACTTTGTCTGGTTGTGTTGCAGCACGCCGAAATAAAATTTTTGGTCGACGATGACGTATTCCTCTCTGAATTTCCTGCGGATCGTCTAGTGTCACCAACATTCCCAAGGATCTACTCAGTTGATAGAAAATAAAATAAAGACAAGTACCGAAGGGTGACACGGGCAGCAAACAATGACACAAGTAGAATTGTGGTCCACAGAGTAGCAGCACGGCCGCAGCGGTAGAATTAATAGAGATGCTAAAAATAGATCAATTAGTAGGACAGAAAGTATATAAGTAGCGTAGAATTGATTAAGCATCGGTGTGTTCGCAAAATTCTCAGTTCAATATTTAATTCCTTTATATCGAAGACATTCGATCCTTTATTTCGTATCAATAAACGAATATTCATTTACTCTGATGTATTAATTCTTTCCTGAATATTCCGTTACATTTCGTAAATCATTAATCCGTATAACGGCAAGATCGGTCATAACTCTTGACCCGTGATCGACCGAGTGGCATTACGTTGTTAATTATTATTTCTCAACGCGCGTTGAGACCCCAACTACAGACTATTGAATTAATCCACCGGTAGAGAGTAGCTATTCGATTCTCGAGAATAATTAATTATCTAAGATTAGTGTGTGCGATCACGTCAGCACATTAACGCCTAATTAAAAGGTCATTAACTGTTTGTTACGATTTAGTTATCGCTGAGGTGAGCCACACTCCTACGACGGCGGCATAGCTAGATCCCAAACCGAGACAGTAATTATCCTCACGTGACTATTGCCTCGACAGTTACAAACTAATGTTTTTTCTTTCACCACAGTTTGGAAAGACCCAAAACTTCATACTCTTCGACTGCAAAGACGCCATTCATCCCAATGCTCTTTTCAAACACTGTATTCTTATTACTACACTTTGCGAATGCCTGTGTAGACTTGTCGCGCCATAAATGTAACTCTTCGTCGCCAAACGACGGACCACAAGTTAAACTTGCCCACATTACCCTTTCACTTAGTTTATTTCTTGAAAGCGTCAGCCTCTCGTTTTTTATGCTAAACAAGAAAGAGGAATCGGCCGCATGATATTTACAGTCGGATAACCAAGAAATTGAAACATATCCACCAATGATGTCGTTTGTACCATACGGTTTTACTAATGTAAGGGTCGGCCCTCGTTCATCACATCGATAATGGAAAGTCCTTGAAGAGAATCCATCTCTCGTACCGCGAAGCAGTAATCGGAAATGATGTCTTGCTTTCCTGGGATATGTCCTATATGAATCCAATTGTGCTTGATCTATTTCCGTCTCACTGGCAATAGTGTGACTCAACCACGACAAGTGCATATCGCTTAAAAGCAAACGTGGACGCGCGCTTGGCATCCGCGGTATATACTGAGGATATTTATAGTTCCCCATAATGTCTTGAATCATGGAATATGGAAAGATTTGTTTGAAAGGATATACTTTGGACATGAAATCCTTTTTGGAAAATTCACCGTAACGAAAGTGGGGGAGAATGCGAGAGAGTATCGATGAAAGCATAGAAAAGTGGTGTAATGTCCAGTGTTGTATTTGGTGTCGAGGTGAGAACGTGTTGACAGTATTGCGTTTTATATTAATACTAACGCCTCCTTCTTCGCCGTCTTCATCTTCCATTATTGCCAACATTTGGTTAATACCCCAATCTAGAACCATGTCCCAAACTTTTCCTTCATCAAAAACGTAATTCCGAGCGTTCAATGCTTCAATAATGACGTCTTCCTCGGTATCCATGAAATCATTACTAGTGAACACGACCTCTGGCGTTACTTTGATGGTTCGATGACAATAATCCTGGATCAGAGCAAATTCTTCCCGATCTCGAGAGATTGAATATATGTATGCGAATTGCGAATTCAAATAATCACTATGAAGCTTGATGAGACAGACTTGAATTTCATGCAAGATTGGTAGACACATTTCGTCAGCTGATAGAAGAAGAGCCATGGTAGCTTCAGACGAGAGGTTGTTTGGAGAAATTTTGTTTTCGTAAAAGTAACTGAATGTAGAAAAAGACAATTGAATAAATTTCTAGGTGTTAACGTGATATAGGCAGCGAGTCCGCAGACAAGGATAATGGCTAAGGTTAGAATCGATGGGAATGTGCGCGCCACTACAATGTGATTGGCTGGCTCTCCGTGAGTATAGTCTTTTTTTTTACTGACTAATTGATCGACTCGATCGCGAATAGTTTATATGGCACTATTCAATAAGTAAATATTATCCTAATAATTTCTCTTTTTGATTTCACTGAAATTGATTTCGTTGCAACTTACTCAATAATAACCTCAAACGCGGCAGGAGTAATAAATTTCTTCTTGAACACTTTCACTCCATCTTCAATCCTAACCCATCGATTGCTGAAAGCTTTTTCAAAATATTCGGCCTTGCCCATCAACACTTTTGAATGCACCATGAAAGTTCTCGTATCTTCACCTTCCCCGACTTCGATTCTCACATCACGTTGTTCATTCTTGATTATTTCAGATATGGAATCTTGTTTTATTGCAGGAACAACAGATGGAACAGTAACATCGCTGGAATTATCTGTTGCTAATTGTTCTCGGCGCGGCGGGAGTACTTTGCTGCGGAAACGTTGAACCGGAAAGTCGAGGAAAAGTTTTTGCAATCGTATAGATCGGCCTTCGGTTGCGAGTGCAGACATTTCTTGGTATATGTTTGAATGCTTTCCATAAACAATATGATTCAGGTTAAAAAGAGCATCGATAAATCTGTAAAGCTGTCGATGGCACTTTTGAACGCTTGAGGGAATTTGGAATCGATATTCCGAGTGACCAATCAAAGCCTCTGATCCACACTTATAGTTCTTATATCACGTGATTCGATACAAGACCTTATTTGATAACAGCGTAATGTTCTGCGACATGTTCATAAGCATCACATTCCCTTGCTTGGAAAAACAAAAAACTTTTTTCGCTCGTGCATATTTTCAATTAACAATATAGCAAATCGGTTGTGTGTATTAAAGGGACGGACGGCATGTCGAGGGCAATACTTCCGATTAGTTGATAGGTACGGATAAGTGATCGGCAAGGGTTCTTGCAGATCGATTGAGCCACAAGCGGAAGACGATCCTTGCAGGGCAAAAAAAAAATAAAATTTTATAAAAAAAACGAAAAGAAAAGAGAAAAAAAAAAAGAGATGCTTGGTATGGATAGTCCACCTGCAAGTCAAGAAAAAGTAGCTCTTGCTTGTTATCTGTAACTTGCATATTTGTTCTCATCTTTTACCCCCAATAACAGTAATACCCGCCTCTCTTTTCTTTAAAAAGGTATGCGATCTAACACCCCATCACGCATTTGATTTCCTTTTTACTCAGGGGCGTGCATATATTGATTCACGATGCCTGATATACTTCTCTCTTTGCTCACTTGCATGAAATCGAACTTGCTTGATATGTTCAGTCACTACTCACGAGAACGCTCTCCCTTTCTTATAACAATGGACCTATCGCTAAAACCTTGTTTTTCATCCTTATGCTCATGTAAAATAAGGAACGATTATGAATGAACGGATAAATGTTTGAAAGTCTTTGCCACATTGATTGACAAAAAGTCAAGTATACTGCAACAACAAAGAATCTGCAAGCATCAAATACACAGAAGATTACTTTTTTAATTACATAAGAACGTCAGTTTTCTGCTTCGAATATCTTCCCCCCCTCTCTTCCCGTCCTCTCAACATATACATCTTGTACTATATTCTGCACATTCGTTTAAAATATCATTAAGTATTCTGGATTTTACCCATTATGGCACTTTCATTCATGGACCGATTTTCCTCAGATATACACACTCTCCTTGATCATAGCAAATTGAATAACGTCTTAATCACAGTGGGTTCGAAGAAAAACACTAAAGAGTTTCAAGCACATTCTCTCATACTACGAGCAAGATCTTTGTATTTTAAAGCAGCATTATCAAGGAAATGGGTTAAATCAAGGAACGGAATCATCTTGCTCAATGAATCGAACATGGATCCAGACATATTCGAAATTTTATTGAGGTTAGTTCCACACGCATATAATGTTTATTTTCAATGCAACGAGAGTGTGTATGTGTGTATGTGATATCACGTGACATCCTTACTATTAACGGGAGGCATTCATTTCGAAGTTATCCTTTTTGGTAGTTTTGTCGGCGAATGAAGGGGACCCGTATTAACACATAGATTAACCAAACTTGCCATCCTTTTTCTTAACAGATACTTTTACAGTGGGAAACTAGATATAACTCATATTCCTCCGCAAACAATACTTTCTCTACTCGAAGCGGCAGATACATTACGCGTAGACGAACTCATCATTCCGATCCAAACATTCGTTCTTTCTACTTATTCTCCCTGGCTTAGACGACATCTGGCACTAGTTCATCGCATCGCATTCAAACACCCACCATTCAAGTTACTCCAAGACTTTTTCAATCAAATTATCAAATCACAGCCGGAACTAGTGTTTGAAAGCGAAGACTTTGTTGATGTAGAAGAAACGTTACTAATAACGTTGTTAGCGCAAGATGAATTGAGAATGCATGAGTGTGATGTATGGAATTATACAATAAGATGGGGACTTGCAAATACAAAAGGCATAAAAGGAAATGTAGATTGCTGGTCTCAGTCCGACATCGACTCGCTCAAGTCAACCCTCAAACATTGTTTACACCTGATACGCTACTTCAACATCTCTGCGGACAATTTCAAAACGCTTGTGAAACCATATCGCCATATAGTTCCGTCTGAGATATACGACAAAGTAACGTTATCGCCTGCGCTACCTGACAACGAGGTTGTATATTCCGGTCTATGTCCACGAAGGGGTCCCATCGAGTCGACTTTGATTAACACTAGACAAGCAGCCGTGATTGCTTCCTGGATAGATCAAGGATTGACCACAACCGAATACGGATGGACTCCATACGCAGCTGAAAATAATCCGTTCGAGTTTCACTTGCTAATCAGAGGTTCCCGCGATGGTTTTACTTCCAGGAAATTTCATGATTATTGTAGTATGCAAGGCGCGACGGTAACGGTTATTAAAGTACGCGACACAGAAGAGATTATTGGCGGATATACGCCTCATGATTGGTATGCACCTAGACAGGCCCTCGTCAAATGGAAACGAGCAAGGAGGAGTTTTATATTTTCGTTTGGTAGCTCGATTGAAGATAAACCTGTCGTATCTAGGGTAAAGCACTACGGCTGCGCTACTGCTAATTCGTCGGTACGGGGACCATGGTTTGGGGAGGCTGATTTGGGACTGAAAGGACATTTTAAAGAAGAGAAGTTATGTGTTTGTAAACGAGTGAGTTACGATAAGGATATTAGACAGAGCGCAGAGAATTTCTCGGTTGAAGAGTATGAAGTATTCAAGATCGTCAAAAAGACGTCTAACGAAAAGTGGAATGCGAAGAGAGATGAGAAGCCTGCAAACGACTGTATAGCCGAGAACATAGAGCTGGATGTGAAAGAAGTTAATATAATCAGTGATGCAGTAAGCGTTGGCAGCAATACTAGCGAGACGGTTGATTACGTAGACGATAATGACGGAAATGGAGTCGGAATCAAAAGTGAAGAGGTTGAGAAAGAGAGCGAGCGAGTTGTACAAGAGGGGAATAAGAGCAGATGTATAAGTATTAAGAGAACTGTTAAGAAATAGATGATGGTCCAGACGAATTTTTTTTTCTTCATAAGTCATGAACTGTTTGAGAAAACGAAAGAGTAAACACGATTAAACGTATCAACTAGAATGTTTTACTGTAATCCTATGAATAAAATTATGAATAAGAACATGATCTATGATGGATCGCAAAGTGATGCAATTTATAACCTATAACGATAATTTATCCGTCAAGTCATACGGCCATGCCATTATAACTAGTCTTTTATCTAGGCGTTCATTCTTGATCTATAAAGGGATACTTCAGTCACGTCTCCATAACACTAGTTCGACCACATCAATTCTGGTCATGTGACATAGAATAGGATTACGTTGACAAGTTAATAGACTTGTAGGTTATAGGCTTGTAAGTAGAACAAGCGCACTCACTTTTCGAAACACGCGAATTTGGGATATCCGCAATAATGTTTGCGGACCCTAAACTTTGTAACAATAGACAGTAAACTTTATTCACTCACTTTCATGGGATAATCGGTATAAATAGTTTACAATTATATTGGCAACTTTTAATATTAGCATTTCCTACTTTTAGAATTTTACCGGAATATATGGTCCAACCAATTAAGTTGCTAATTCAGAATTATTGATAGAAAAAAAAATACTAACACTGTTTATTTGCGATCAGAAACTTTGCTATACAAAACATGGAGGTTTGGAGACCGAAACCACTCCTTTCGCTTCAACTATCTTCACATTTTAAATTCGAATCTTAACGTTACTTTGTAAATAATATTTATTGGAACGTTTATTACACACAATGATCTATTTATTAACGCAGCATAATTTTGTAGCCGAGAATAGCATCTTGCAAGTTATCGGGTTTGCAAAAACGATCTCTGAACGAAAACTCTATTTATCATTATGTTCATGTCGCAGAAATCTGAAAGCTCAATTTTCTACCAAATTTGTTAGCGCTCGCTCGATGTCTACTAATACTAACGCGTGCATTTACTAGCAATGTATCTCCACAGCAAGCGGCACGGCACCATGAACGAAGAGAGTTTTCCCAAAATTATACTTAGATTAATGGAACAAAATTATGGTTCAGCTGACGCACAAGTAAAAGAATTGTTAACTGATATACACTATCCAGAGAGTATTTATGCCCTTAATACATTCTTGAACACGAAGTAGATTCTGTACCAGTCGAGACGTTACAATTAGCTATGAAGAGTCTGCATTCCCAAAGAACGGACGAATTATTTTCGGGTGAGACAAAAATAAAGTTGGAGTGGCAATTACAGGTACTTATAATTATACTAGAGCAAGTATGTGAACGTGGATGCCAACTTACGCGACAATTTCAGAAAAGTCATGTTTATGTATAAAAAGACGAATTAGAAGGTTATGCAGTCACTAGGAGAGCCAATTGTGCAGAATTCAATAAGTTGATAAAAACATCAAAAGCTTCGAGTGCAATTACAATAACTCATTAAACAATGCAGATAATGATTTCATTCAATTTAAATCAATTGAAATTTTGGTAAAACTTGAAGCCATAATAATAATGAGGAATTGTTTGTTACAACACCTGATGATATTTCACAATGTTTATTGTTATAAGTTTGTAGCCCGACTTAAGCATTTTGACGTGGAATGGTTTAAAATTCTTGTAGTAGTAAGTAGTAGATTGTTATTCAAATATGTCAATGTGTCAATTAGATAGTGTTGACTGCTGGAGTTTGGTATAAAAAGTATAAATGCACTGCACAAATATGGCAAAATAAATGTTAATGTCATTTTTTGAAAGTTTTCTATATTAATATTGCATAAAAGTAAAGTGTTACTATAGTAATGACTATGTCCTTTTTGTTCATTGTTATATTTCATTTATTAGCTCATCTGAAAGCACATTTTGCATTTTGAAGTCATATTGAGGACAATATTGAATATGTATATGCTATGTAAATAAATTTTAAGAAGTGATTTTATTACATTACTAATTATAATACTTATTATTATAGGAAACAGTCCGAATCTACCTTCTTAAATATCAATGGACCTCCAATGTAAGTGTTTGGCTGCCCTGCACTACTAATACAGCTGTATGTTGTAAATGATAACTAACAAATGGTTGCAAATTATCTAACAATACCAATATTTTAAGTACCTCCAAATAAATATAAGCTCAATATTCTGTTGAACGATAGTTGGGAACCACAAAGTTTGACAGTCTTGTAAGAAATTTTATTGAGTTTAGTCTTATTTTAGAATACTTATATTATAATATTTGGGTTTTAGATAAAAACGTCAACTGAGGAAATTGAATACAATTGGATATTGAATAATAACGATTATGTTAAAGAATATATTTTATCATGCGTTACTGACGTTCTTTCTGAAAATGACATTATGCTAAAATTTGCTGTTGATGATAAGGTAAGCTATTACTATTACTATTGTTTAAAATTGTTGGTTAGTCCATTTAACTCGATAATTTTAATTTTAGTCATGTGTATCTCTTTATTGAGTTTTGTTTGTATTCCGAGGAAAAGTTTCAGACTATAGAAAATACTTCAAAATCGCAACCCTTCCAATGAGTGTAAAAATTATTGACTGCTGACAGTTTTATTACAAGAGCAATATTCTCTGGCCAATTCCGTTACCTCCTCGCCAATGTAAATTATGTTTGGTAATTATAATTAGAAAATCAGTGAGCTTTTCTTTTAATTGTTTGTTAGATGACAGTAAGCTTATTTTTATTGCAAGACAAAATTCTTCTATAACATGCATATCAGATTGTTACTACTACTGCCACTACATCATGGTCATTGCCTGTCTAGCAAATTGTGTGACTATTTTACCTCGAAGTGAAACTGAAAGTTTTGACAAGAACATATCTTTAGACAATTGTCAAGGTGTGTAAAAATTAGACAGACTACGTTCTCAATCGAACTGTAACGTGTGGATTGTACCGGTCAGTTCTAAACAATCAGTTATTACCTCTATAAATAGGGTTTTCGAAACCCTTGTCGGAATAAGAAAACTTTTAATTTTTGTCGAACAAACACTCGAATAGTGTAAAGAAGACAAAGCTACTGTATATTGCCAAATTAAAATTATCCTTTGGAGCAAACTATCTTGTTTTGCCTATTCGCGATAGTCTCACACAAACCATACCAAGAAAAATATATACTCTTGATTGTCTTATTCTAACTGTTACCGTGGAGAAGTTATGGTTGTGGTATAAAGGTTGTGTGTCAATAATAAGCCGGACCTTTAGTCATAATTGAAAAAACAAAAACGTTATTGAGTGAGTGGCGTCGAGAATTTAAGAATAAGAATTATGCAATTCATCCATTAAAACATTAGAAAGAGAAAATTCAAATACATTGCTTCCATGGACCTCTCAGAGTTAGACCTTAGTCAAATCGAACCGGTTTGAGATCGTTAGAAAGCGCAGTTCGTCAAGACAGCGTTATCCCAGAAATCATTAATGGTTTGAAGAAAGAGTTGGTAAGAATAGATACGAGTCGTTTGGAAAATTAGTGAAAGTATGGGCACAAAAAGTTCAAGCTGTAATTAAAATAAAGGAATTCCGATACCATATGATAATATTTACAATTTCGTAGATTTATTGTATTCTTCAAGACATTTACATATCGCTATGACTAATTCAGTGAACGAGAATAAATTGTGTTAATGAACAGTAGCATTGCATTGCGAGCTTCTGTAAAATATGCATGGACTGTTGTGAAACTCATAACTTAGAGATCATTTATTAATATGGAAGTTATATAACGAGGTCTAGTCCGCTTTGGCATTAGTGCGTTGCAGTTATTGCATACGCTTGGCATAATACGTTAGAATGATTCGACATCAAGATTCTAGTTAAATATAGCTGGACTTATAAATAGCCGAAATGTCTTAAAGTTTATCCATTGATGCAAATGTTGCCGGAATATCCAAGATAGTTGCAGAACAGGCAGTTTATTGGCTGAAGTGTGCAGGAGAATGGCGCAGACTATTGATCATGTGATTAAGCTTGTCATATTGATTTTCCCACGATATACTACGGAAAGTTTACTTTGCATGATTGTCTACTAAAAGAATTACCTCAAGCGGAACGTGAGCGTCACACTAAAATGATTGAAGAAAAGACTAGTGATAGCGAAGGAAATACTGAAAAGGCTAAAGGAGAAGTCAAGAGTCCGAGTATCTTCAACTTGGAGCAATCGCTCATGTCTAATCTGAAAACATTGTATGAAAAACAAATTGCATGCGATATTACTATTACAGTCGGAAAAGGTTCAACACGCCAAGACTTCAACGCCCACAAATGCCTGCTCTGCATTCGGTCGCCATACTTTCACAAAGTCTTCCTGGGAGACGAAGTTCCCGTCGAAGGAGGTTTGAGTTTATATCGTGCGGATGAACCTGCTGCGGCGCTGGTACTTGAAAATGTGTCGCCTTCTGCGTTTACGATTATTATCACGTAAGTAGATCCTTCTAAAATAATACCATAACCTATTTGTTATTTTATTTATATTAGCTATATTAATCCGTATTCATCGTATTATAGATACATGTATACAGGGAAATTAGAACTGGCCAAGATGGCGGATTCCATGAATGACTATCTACAGCTATTATCTGCGTTTGATACTTTTAAATTGCAAGAACCAAGCCAAGTGTTACAACGACTGGTCTGCGCAAAGTATGCCAGTGCACTAGAGACCCATTTTGTAGCAACTATGCTATTCTGCAAACAGCATCCACAGCTGCACATATTGAACAGTTTCATTGACACATTGATCATGGAAAAACCAGAATCTGTTTTTGATTCTTCGGATTTTACTACATTGAATGCCGACGATTTAATTAGCATTTTGAAACGACCTGATCTTAATATTCCAGAGATTGTAATCTGGGATAAAATTATAAAATGGGCTATTGCGCAAGATCCGGTACTACCAGAAAATATTAACAATTACCAATCATCAGAACGTCTTGTACTCCGGGATAGGCTTGGAAATATATTACCGCTTATCAAATTTCACGGCATATCCGCACCTTGGTTCTATAGAAAAATCCATCCATACAAATGTGTTTTTTCAGAAGAATACTATGAGAATCTTTTGGAACACTACTTTGATCCAAGTAATTCTAAGATACCAATTCCTGAACATCATGTTCCGTTTGTATCATGCTTGCTTACCAGGGGACAATGTGCAGCCATTGGAAACCATATTTACTCACGAAAGGCAAGTGAACAGACCATGAACCCATATTTTTTTAAGCGGATTTTTTGTCGTTCTGTGGATGGTTCTGAACAAGCTGTTTTTGAAGAGAAGTGTATTGGTAAAGGAGCAACAGTATTTGTAATAAGAGCAAAGGATACAGGTGAAATACTAGGTGGATACAATCCACTTAGCTGGCAGAGATCAAATGTATGGTTTGACACTAATGACAGTTTTATATTTGCTATAACTAAAAAGGTTGTAAAAACAGAGGAGGGAATTTCATTGCTATCTTGTGAACCTGTTATAAGTTCAGTGAACCGTTTCAATCGTGCTATATATAATGGATTTGACGTCAATGAAAGTTGCTTTCAGTTTGGGAGAGATTTAAAGGTCTGTATTTGTGATAAATTTGTCTACAAACACAACACTTGTGAAAAACGGCTATTGAATGATTGTGTTTCAGAAATTGATGAGTTTGAGGTCTTTCAACTTGTTAAAAGAGAGGAAGTTGTAAATTAATTTATCAATTGCAAACATACATAGATATGTTTGTTTGGTGAAGCATTTGCTATTATGTAGTCAATCAACCAATATCAAGTATCAGTACTCACTTTTACTTTACATATAATAAAGATCTATTATTATTTCAAATTAAGCATTTCAATTTGTGATTTGACTACTATCTATATCATATATCAGTGAACAGTTCTTATACTTAGCAGTGAATTTATAACAGCAAAGAATACTCTATTGTAAGGTGCATAGTAAATCAGTTTACTCATTATGAACAAACTTGTCACATTATTTTTGTAACACAATTGATATGCTTTGACAAAAAGTGCTTTCTCGTGATCATATCATAATCATATAGCATGATTTTTTGCATATTAATATTAGAATTAGATATCACAGAGGAGTTTAAATTTTCTTTTGCATCATATTAAGTATAAGTATGAGAAGAGTCTTTTTCATACCAATTGTAACTGTGGTATGATAAAGTTATGGTTTAAAAGCGCATGTATGTACTCTAATACTAATACTAAATTACAAAGTATTAATCACAACACTATATATATCATTTACCTGCTAAATAGAATCACAACACTATATATTAATATATCATTTACCTGCTAAATAGAACATTCTATTAGTATTAGCAAAGACAATTTATAGTCATGTATGCTAAGTTGAAATAATAATAACTTATAAACAGTGACTAAGAATTAGAATATAATATTTCTGAATCATATTCTCCACAAGCATTGGTATTTCTCCTTCACTACATCCAATGAATACCAGTGCTATCAGCGTTTCCATACTGTACATCTAACGGACCGGATATGTTTAATAGCGTAATAGTAATAGGTGTATCTGTTGGAGTTGGCCTAATATATAATATCAGTGATTTCAGCATAAAGTATTTGTAATGACTTCCTGAAGCGAATTAAATCAAATCCAATTTCCCCGACATTGTTGTGAAGCAAAGACCTTTGATAAAGCGGCTGAAGGTCAAGCGTACATTAATATTGACGTTATAGTTAAGCATTGACGTAAAGATTTAGTCACATTACCGACATGTTGATTACGATTACATACCCTCAGTTTATATCTCACCCGGTTATATCTTATAACAACAAATGTAAGGTCTATAATTAAAATAAACCATACACTGTACACTCTCACTTGAGGGCGGAAACAAAAGAGAAGATGTAACCGTACCATTAAATAATCGCGACAGATATAATAATAATACTTTATTGTAATAACCATTACATTATTATTTAATAAATTAACAATTTTATTTACGTAGATTTATAAGTTATTAATTTATCTTCACTACAGCTTTTGCGCATCGTATGTTCGGTATTACTTCACGATCGGAACGATTACCGGCAAAAGGACTACGACCAATTACGAAAATCATTTTCTTCGAAACCTATATTTACTTATGTGAGTTTGTGCCATTTTGAAGCATTGTCAACCTTTCTTCTAAGAAGCACAGAAAAATGGCTATATCGACCAGAAATCTGATTAGTTGAAGTTTTATAAATTGAACCATAGTTCCATGAAGTGAGAATCCGGCTGTATAATCGACAGAATTATAATAGTACTAGTACACCACACCTATCTAATTATAGTAATAATAATCACTATTATTTATTTAGTTTTAGTTTAGCGTGGGAACAAAAGTATTACTATGTTTGATTACGTATGTATTGTATACATTCTATTTAATTTTACTATATACGGTGTCCGTTGTGTAGATCTGTAAGGGCCGCAGAAATACGCCATTCTTTCGTTCTTGTGCAATTACCGACTCAGCATACCAACCACTTTACTATGTATTCTGAAGAAATACCTACCGCCTTCAATTTGGAATCTGCGTTATTGTCCAGTTTGAAAGAACTGTACGAAAAACAACTTGCGTATGATGTTACCATAACGGTTGGTGAAGGACCGATAACACAAGAATTTAAAGCTCACAAATGCATCCTCTGCGTTCGATCGCCTTACTTTTACAAACATTTTTTGGAAAATAAAGAATATCCTGCGGAAGAGGGTTTGGCTTTATATAACAGTGATGAAGCTGGAACGTTCTTTAAGGAAATGTCGCCTTTAGTGTTTGCTATTATGCTCGAGTTAGTATTAATATTAGTAACTTGTTATAAACACTTTTTCCCTCTAATATTGACTTGTTAATCACATTGCGTTTCAGGTATATTTACACAGGCATGTTACAATTGGATAGAATGTCCGAATCTATCGATGAGTACCTACAACTTGTGTCTGCAATTGATCTTCTAGAGTTGCAAAAACCGAGTGAAATTGTACAAGATTTGATACATGCAAAATTTTTAAAGGCGATGGAGACTACAGCAGTAACAATCAAATCATTTTGTGAAAAACATCCACGCCTGCAAGTACTCAACAACCTAATTAATGCAATATTTGAAGAAAAGCCCGAGTCTGTCCTTGATTCTTCTGATTTTACTTCATTGGACAAAGAAAGTCTGATTGATATTCTGAAACGACCTGATCTTAACCTTCAAGAGATTGTAATCTGGGATAAAATTATAGAATGGGCTATTGCACAAGATCCAGAGCTCCCAGAAAACATCAAGGAGTACAAACCTTCAGAAAAGGATGCTCTTAAGGACAGGCTTAAAGATCTTTGGCCACTTATCAAGTTTGTTTATATATCAGCACCTGATTTTCATAAAAAAATACATCCGTATAAATGTATCTTCCCAGAGGACTTCTATGAAGATCTTCTAGAGCATTACTTTGATCCAAGTAACTCTAGGATATCAGCTCCACGACAATATGTGCCATTTGAAGCTAATTTACTCTTGCGGAAACATTGCAAGTCTATTGAAACATGGATTCAAGAAAGAACAGCAAGTGAAAGTTTAACCAAAAAATCATATCTCTTTAAACGGATTTTTTGTGGATCCATAGACGGGCTTGACAAATCTACTTTTTCAGAGAAATGTGTCAATAAGGGACCAACAGTATTTGTAGTCTCAACCAATGGTACAGGTAGAATATTGGGTGGTTATAATCCATTTGGTTGGGAGAAATCCAGCAAATGGTTTGAGACCAAGGATAGTTTCATTTTTCTGATGAGGAGTTCGATTCTGAAAACGGAAGATGGGGTACCATTATTGACTTATCAAACTGTTTTGAGTTCAGTGAAGAATTCCAGTCATGCTATATATAATCAAGTTGACGGTGAAGAAAAGTGTCATTTTAGTTTTGGAGGGGATTTGGAGGTTTATATTTCTTCAACTGGTCACCAGTATGTTTACAAGCATGGAGCTTATAGCCAGAGGTTATTAGAAGATTGTGTTTGTAATATAGATGAAATTGAGGTTTTTCAAGTGATTGTCGGAGAAGATTAGTCGATTATATAAGATGAAGATGACTTGGGTGGTGCATACGTGATGGATGAATAACTTGCGTATTTGCTGTACTTGAACAATTTGCGAATGCAGTGCAGTATTATAACATTAAATATCAGTAATTTATTCATACTTTGGGTAGCTTTCGTTTATGTTTTAATGTTGCATATCAACAATGGCTTGTTATCAACATGGGTTATGATATTATCATTAAAGTTTTAGTGATTTAGACCATCTGTCACTGAAATATGGCGGGGGGAGACGATGCGGCATTATCTCTACTCTTCGTTTTAACTCGACACAATCAAATTCATGCGTCATCTTTCCGAGTTCAACTTCTTGTTTTGCGACGAGAATGAGCTCATCTGCACTTTTATTTGTTAACGCCTTAAACGTTTCGCCGAAGATCCCGTGAACTAACTCATAAGTTTGTTTAACGTTGCTGCGGGAAATTATTTGTGCGGGTTGAACGTACGTCGATTCTTCTGTTATGACGAATCAATAATCAGAATGGCAATATAAACTTCCAATGGCTATCGTATTGATAACGTCGACAGATAGATTCAATTTTCAACAGGTGAGATACTTTACATCGCTTTAACCCTCTTTCTCATTCTTGCGTCTTCGTTCAGTGCGCGTTCGTATTATTCATTCGGGCCCCTCTGAATGAAAGACGACACATTCGTCAAGGTCGCGCTGGTATGTGCTTTCTATCGGTCCATTTCCGATATATTGCTAGTGATCTTTATACGTACATACTATACGTTTAGGTGACTATTGTTCGATTTACAAAGCCCAATTTTCAAATTTATTTTCATCATTAAGTAAAAAGAGCGGTAAAGACAGAATCTATTATGTAGGATCTGGTTGATACATGAACAAAGAGATTTATAATGATATGATAGATACGATTATGGCTAAAGAAGTGAGCTAAAAGCCTAGACCGGGCTGCGGGGGCGCTTGAATCTCACTTCCTACGGAACCAATGAACATCCTTCTTCCTTTTCTTCTTCTTGCGCCGTGTTGTTGTTGCTTCTTCTTCTTCCTCTTCTTCTTCCTCTTGCACCGTGTTGTTGTTGTTTCTTCATTTGTCATCTTGTTTCTTCAAACTCTATTACCACTCATTTCACTTTGTCTTTGTTTACCCCTACCATTAATGACATCGTTATTCTCGGTCAAATTGACCTTTCCAACCTTGCTGTGCACTCTAATTGTGTTTCTTTTAAAGATATAACTCATAGAAATAGTAACATTTTTGTAATTCGTACCAAAATCTAATTTGAATTGGATCTGAGGGTATATGGTTTCCAAATATCCTTTTATGTCTTCATAAAAATGATTGATAATACAGTATCCATTGACTGAGAAATCTCTCAATTTGTTGCCAGGAGTTGAGATTGGGCATTCCATCGGCGTACCATCCCGATAGAAAGTGACTGCGATACGATCTACTATTTTTGCTATAGCGCAGCAGATAAGCTCTTCTATTGCATAGGCAAAGTCATCAAGCAACTCCCCTCCGGCCTTATAGGATAGATCGCTTTTGCTGTACGATTGTTGTACGTTAAAATACAGTAATTCACTTTCTAGCTGTGCCAGTGACGTTATGTATGGCGGTGGCGGACATTGCCCATCTGTGCCATTGTTTGTCCCAGCGTTACTACTCGAACTCTGATTTAACGTGGGTGAAGCAGGAGCTTTAGGGAGAGGATGTCGAGAATACTTTGGTGTCGCCGGCGGATCTGGTGGTGGATGCCACGAGATGGTTCCGGTTCGGTAGAATTCCATGATGTAGTAAAAAGCATGCCCATCTCTGTCGAAAAAGAATTCGTTTGTAGTGCCCTCAACCGGTCGAAGAAGTTCTTGGTTGCGCGGATGGAACATTGTACCTAGCAGCGTATCTGGGTATGCTGTGAGAGTTTCGCGGTAGGTTTCATACTAGAAGGGGTAAAAGATGCGAGCCAGTTAGATACGCTATCAACAGTGTCGGATAGAATCAGTGGTAATGTCATAACTCCCTTTTGGGGGGTCTACCAGTCTCGCAACAGTGATGCTTGTTGTCTCTGATATATATCGAGCGTAATGCTATTAATTGATTGTGTGCTTGTTCATCCTCAATCGCAAATCGATCTTGCATGTTCGTCGGTATAATATAATTACGTATACACCCCTTCCAACCTTCTACTTACCTTAATGCCGCCGACATTCAGGATAATTCTTTTGTTTTCAGATGATTTCGAGGTTTCGGCCACTGTCTCCTTAGCTTTTTCAGAACCGGATTGTTTAGCTTTGTCGTCAACAGGTTTCGAATTCATTGATTAGGTAAAATATGTAAGATGTTAGAGATATGGTGGGATTGAGATTAAGGGGCAAGGAAGAAGCAAGACTAAGACGACGATGATGGCTTGTGAGGATGTATCATAAATACGAAGGGTTGGGTTATAGTAAGTAAAAAAAAAGAGTAGATTTTATATAAACTCTAAATACCCGATAACCATAAATATTAATGGTTGTTAATGATTGGGTAACATCATGCCGTGATTAATGTTACATATTAACTATCGAATTGGCGATTAGGTAATAACATAACCCCTTCCTCTAAAAGTTGCACTAAATAATAATCAACGAATGAAATAGCGAGTCTTATTGCATACGCAACGTTTTACTGTATATTCGTGACCTTTATTAGGCGCAATGTTGAGAATTACAGATGACTATTGTTAATTATGTACATAGTCACAACGATAGTAACAACTAGAAATCATTTAACGTTGTATTACGTTTGTCGCACCTTTTCCCCTCCCTTTGGAATCAGCCACGGGTCCCTGCATTATGTCGAGCACATGGTATCAACAACACTAACCGATGTTTTAATATTGTTTCCCCATCCACACACGGGCCAGTTACGGTTTCAGTATCCCTTTGTCAACAACAAAATGGTTTAAGCTCGTCTTTTTTACAATAATGGCGGACTGTCTACAAATTTCACTCAGACAATATTTACAAAGTACCGTTACCGGTGGTGCTGTAATTATGTTAATTGCAAGTTGCGAACGTTCATTCTATTGTTAAGTTTCTAATCATACAACGGTTTGTTATTTACCGTACAAGATAATACTCTTGTAAGCATAATAAGTATTTTAATTTCAAGACACGATTGAAACAAACAAAAAGCATTTAAACAAACGAAACGTGACATTGGTAAAAGAATTACAAATGTCAAAGATAAAGTTAGCAGAACATTACACAAGCCCAATTAATTTGTAATTAATGACATTCCATATACTTTTAACAATCAATTTGATTTCGGATTAAAGATGACACTGTAAAGTACTGTCAAGCACCGTGTGAACGCGATAGGCTATCCTGAGGGTTCTACTCAGTATCGCTTCATTAATGGGTTCTGTGTGATTAACGCTTTAC